GGTAGTGAGATTTCACCCTGCAGAGGAGATTGGTAACATAAGTCAGATTTTTCTTTGCTTTGCGATTTTTCCTGGATAGCTATCCTTTCTTCTTTAGGTGTCTATATGTCCAAGATCTTTTGACGTCTCAAAAATGGGTGTTTCTATTTTCCTGCAATGACAAGAACAGAACCCTGCTTTGACCTTTGTGAGGTTTCCTTATAACTTGTAGGACTGCCATGTTGGTGGATGAGCTATCATATCTCTTAATCAAGAGGTTTCTCCTGTTCAAACCCAATCTTGATTAGTTTTTATGATTGTAGTGATACATTATTTATGATTTATTAAGGCTTGATTGAGGATTCAGAAAAGCAAAGTCAGCCATAAGCCATAGAAGCCAGGCATATACCTTTAATCCCAGCAGCCAGAAGCTAGGAGGTGGTGGTACACACCAGGATTAACCTCAGGATTAAGAGGTAGATGGATCTCTCTGAGTTCAAGGCCACCCAGATCTACACAAGAGTGAATCAGTCTAAAAGAGAATTACAGCTCAGACCTTTAATTCCAACATTAGGAAAGTGTATAAGACAGAAGCAAGGTCTAGAGATGCATTTGTTATCTAGCCACACTCCAGGTTAGTCTGAGGTTTGGTGAGACCTCGTGGAGACAGGATCAGCCTCATTTTCCTGAGGTAGAGGTAAGAAGCTAGTGGCCAGCTGCTTTGCTTTCCAGCTTGAATCCTAATATTGGTCTCTGGGTCTTTTATTTTTCATCTTACAATCTATAGCTTTTCTTCTCCTATGGAAACAAAGGCGAAACCCTTCTCCAATGTAGCACATATCCCGGTTTCCATTCTGAGGTTGCTTGACCCAGCAAGCCCACAGTGGCTGGTGGATTTCCTGGGGCTGTACTTTTTCACCCTTTTTGGAGAGAGCTCCAAGGTGTTGGTGGGTAGGTAGGTGGACTGGCTACACCCCAGTGTGGCACTTTGCCCTCGGGGTCAGGCTGTTAGTATTCTAGCCTTGTGGGTGCCAAAATGTAATAGATAATTGTAATAGAGTCTTATGAGAGACTGGAATAAAGGAAGTCAGGTATTCATTGGGGAGTTACTCATGAATAACAAATAAAGTAGAGAATTGCCAAGGTCTTCTGCCCAGAGACACTGGAAGCTGCCTGCAGTCTGATCTGTGACCATCACCCAAGAGGGAGAGGAACACGCCTCTGCTGCCCATCTGTTCACATGTAGTACCTGAGACCAACCCTTAATGAGCCGGCACCCCAAAGGTTATTGATTAAGTGAATTCCCACAACAGTAACAGGGTAAAGGTTTCTCCATCTTGTCTTAGCTGAAGGCATCTTTGGTTCCATCCACAGCCATGAGAAGTCCAGTGGGAAAGCACTGTTGTAGAAACTTAGGGTCTCAATGCCCCAACTAACTGCATGTTCTTGGCGCTTGTTATACTACTTGCTAGTTTCCCTCTGCAACTGCTAACCAGGATGCAGTTTTTATCTGTTGTCTTTAAAAACTCCTGTAATATACACTCAGGGCTGCTATATGATAAGTGTTTCTCTGCATGTTGTTGCTGGCTGGCTTAATTTAGACTCTCAATTCCAACTTTGGTCATGCTGAGTGGTTTCTGGGTTTTACCCCATAACACTATGTAAGAGACCTTTTCTTGTTGTGAGGTTAAAACAATGGTATCTAAAAAAAAAAAAAAAAAAAAAGCCTAGATTTTAATTTTTAGGATACTGAAGCACTTGATATACTATTTATGATTTATTAAAGCTTGGCTGAGGATTCAGAAATCAAAGTCAGCCACAAGCCATAGAAACCAGGCATATATCTTTAATCCCAGCAGCCAGAAGCCAGGTGGTGGTGGCCAGGAGGTGGTGGTATAGGCCTTCTTAATCCTATTACTCAGGATTAAGAGACAGACAGATCTCTGAGTCCAAGGCCACCCAGATCTACACAAGAGTGAGTCAATCTAAAAGAGTAACAGCTCACATGTCTTTAATCCCAGCACTAGAGGGGTATAAAAGATGAGGCATTCATTCTTCAGACACACTGAAGAGAGGCAGCAGGATCTGCCCATGCAGCCTGAGGTAGAGGTAAGAGTTAGTGACCAGCTACTTTGCTTTTCTGATATTCAGCTTACAGTTTGAACCCCAATATCTGCCTCTGGGTCCTTTTATTTTCATGTTACAAGTACCTTAGGTATTTTTTATATCAAAGAGAAGAAAAACACTGGAGGATTTTCTTTTGTCTTCAATACTTGGAACTGCACCAGTATTGATTCCTGCTAGGCAAAAATGGTAACATACCAACAGGACCCACAGGGGCAAGTGACACAAAGTCACATTCTGAACCTCTAAAGCCTGTAAGATAACAACTGTTCCCCTCTTCCCAGCTGAGAATGTATTTCCATACATGCCCTATCTAATCTAAACACATTTTTACCCTATTTTCTGTTGCACACTGAGTGTCACATCCTTTGTGGAGGATCAGTCAGTCACAACTCATGTCCTACCCAGTACTTTTCTGAAGCTGATAAACTAGCGTGTTTTACAACCTCACAGAAGGGTGGCACATAGCTTATTAAATTACTGCTTTATTTCCTGAGCCCTTCACTGATCTGTTAAAATCAAAGACCCTTCTCTAAATGCATAGCCCTCTTCCCTCAAAAGCCCATAAATGTGCAGAATTTCCTGTTACATGGATTGCTGTTCCATCTCCTTTTCCAGCTTCTCTTGATTCAAGTGACTGCCATTACTTTTTTTTAAAATAAATTTTATTGAAATTGGAAACAATCTTATTTTACATATCAATCCCAGTCCCCCCCAACCCCCATCCTCCCATGGGCCCCAGTGGCTGTCATTATTAAAAACGCTCTAGCCCTGAAATCCTTCTTAGCAGTGATTCCAGGGTCATACTAACAACTACTTGCAACTTTGTGGACTTTCAGGTCAAGTCAAGTCTACTGAACCTGGAATCTTCATTATTTAAACACATCAATATTTTTGAACAAACTGCAGAGCACATGGCACATGGATTCTTTATGCTAATCACAAACCTGACTCTGGAAGCTGTTAATCTGAACTAATCTAAATTTCATTATTCACTTTACACACACACACACACACACACACACACACACACACACACACACATTTCCATGAACTTTTGGGCCTATAGTCATGTTAAAACCAGGTAGTTAAAAACCAGGTCGTTAAGAGAGAAGAGCACACAAAGAGAAAGTAGGGGAGGGAATGAATTTGAATACTCTGTTGGAAATTAGAAAATAGGGAATAGTGAAAATGAAGCAATTTTTAATATACAATTTGGCATAGAGAAAAGGGAAAGTTTTCTGTGTAGCCTTGTCTAACCTGGAACTCACTGTAGACAAGACTGGTCTCAAACTCAGAGATCCACCTGCCTTTGCCTCCCAAGTGCTACTGCCACCACCACCTGGCTAAGACTTCTTTTTTTTTTTAATAATTTCATCCTTTTTTCTTGTAAAATTTATTATTTTTTTATGCATGAGTGCTGTCTGCATGTATGTCTGCATGCCAGAAGAGGGCTTCAGAACCCATTATTGATTGTTGTGAGCCACCATGTAATTGCTAGGTATTGAATTTAGGTCCTCTGGAAGAGAAGCCAATATCCTTAACTGCTGAGCCACCTTACAGGTGCTTCCATCAGGAGAATCTCCTGTTTAGGACTTGCCCTCTACAGGTTTAGGACAGAGCTTCACCTAATAAATAGTTAAGGCAACAGATCACCTGTAACTGTCCATCTCAGAATTCTGAGACAAAGCCTGTGCCAGCCAGCCAGCCAGCTCCTGCATAATTCTGAACTTTAAGTGCATCTCACACTGAAATGGACCATAGTTTACTTCTTACACATGTGAATGTTGCTACTGGGAAGCAGCTTTGATGTTTCAGAGCTAACCTTTGGGATTTGTCATTTGTAGTCTACCTGGTACACTGGTAAACTAATTTCTTTTCAATTTGTTTTTGATCAAATAACACCTTTGCCAGGTGGTGGTGGCGCAGGCCTTTAATTCCAGTACTCGGAAGGCAGAGGCAGGGACATCTCTGAGTTCCAGGTCAGCCTGGTCTTATCTACAGTGAGTTCCAGGACAGCCAAGGCTACACGGAGAAACAGTTATGGAAAACAAAACAAAACCCAAAACAAAAGAAACCAAAAACCCCACTCAGGAAGGAGAGGCAGGTGGATCTCTGTGAGTTTGAGACCAACCTGGTCTAGAAGAGATAGTTCCAAAATCAGAGAAACCGTCTGGAAAAAACAAAGCACCCCACCCCCAAGAAAACCAAAAAACCCAAACGCCTTCAGTGAAGTCATCTTTGTATATCACTAAAAGTCGTCATAAACCTCTTTACTTACCTGTTCTGCATTTTCTTCCTGGGCTATCTACCACCTGACATCCCGCACCTTCGTTTCCACAGCCAGAATCAATTTCCATGGAAATAGCTTTTAATCAGAGCTACCCTCAAAAACGTGCTCTTTACTCCGGACCAATTGTTTACTAGTGTGGGACTTGGAAGTCTACTTTTAACTAACAGATGACATTTAGTAGAACATTACCTTCCACTGCAGAGAAAAAAAACACTAAGGATCCTATCGTTTACTGAAGTTTAGACAGGATAAACGTCCCAAATATACCTGGCCTTAGAGTGAAGTTGAAACTTTTCAAGCTCAGCACTCTGGAAGCAGCAGATAGACCTGCTTGGTATACAAAGTCGAGTCAGCACCCCAAAAACAAAAAACCAGAAACTCAACAGAAAAAGCAAGTACCGTTAGGCAAAGATCAAGGAAACGTTACTCAAAATCTAAACGGACTCTAGAATTTAAGAAAAAACCGTTTTTGAACGCCTGTGTTCCATGTGTACGCTGGGCTACAAATCAAATAATGCAAACTAGTGCTTAAAAGACCCTCATTAACTTTATCGGCTAACTTGTTTTCAAAACCTTACATGCGCCAGCTTCTTTTTGGACTGTATGAGTGGCTCTGAAAAGAGCCTTTGGGGGTGTATCTAAATCTGCTCACTTGGTCTTATGGTGGCTCTCGGTCTTCTTGGGCAGCAGCACAGCTTGGATGTTGGGCAGGACGCCGCCCTGCGCGATGGTCACGCGCCCCAGCAGCTTGTTAAGCTCCTCATCGTTGCGGATGGCCAGCTGCAGATGGCGCGGGATGATGCGGGTTTTCTTGTTGTCGCGGGCCGCGTTGCCAGCCAGCTCCAGGATCTCGGCCGTCAGGTACTCCAGCACGGCCGCCAGGTACACCGGGGCGCCGGCGCCCACCCGCTCCGAGTAGTTGCCCTTGCGGAGCAGGCGGTGCACACGGCCCACGGGGAACTGCAGGCCGGCCCGGGAGGAGCGGGTCTTGGCCTTGGCGCGAGCCTTGCCACCCTGCTTGCCTCGTCCAGACATACTGATGACCTAAAGCAACTGGAGGTTACAAAGGAAAACAGAGCCAACCCCCTTGACTTTTATAGTCAAGCTACGGCGCGAAAAAGGAAATGCGTCATTGGTTAACATTCTGAGTTCATTTTAACCAATGGAAACGCGGTTTGGGAATTTTTGCATTCTTATTGGGTAAAAACAGACTCAGCCTTTTCTCTGAGTGACCACTAACAAGACACATAGCACTTTACTTTATTTGCATACAAAGCTCTAGATAAAGCATACACAACCATTCCCTTAGTTGGGCTTATCCGTGGGTGTTTGATTCGCCTGGTTCTTCGATATGCCTGAACCTGCCAAGTCCGCGCCCGCCCCGAAGAAGGGCTCCAAGAAGGCCGTGACCAAGGCCCAGAAGAAGGACGGCAAGAAGCGCAAGCGCAGCCGCAAGGAGAGCTACTCGGTGTACGTGTACAAGGTGCTGAAGCAGGTTCACCCCGACACCGGCATCTCCTCCAAGGCCATGGGCATCATGAACTCGTTCGTCAACGACATCTTCGAGCGCATCGCGGGCGAGGCTTCTCGCCTGGCGCATTACAACAAGCGCTCGACCATCACGTCCCGGGAGATCCAGACGGCCGTGCGCCTGCTGCTGCCCGGGGAGCTGGCCAAGCACGCGGTGTCCGAGGGCACCAAGGCCGTCACCAAGTACACCAGCGCCAAGTAAACTTTCCAAGCGACTGTTAACATCTAGCACCAAAGGCTCTTTTAAGAGCCACTAAGTTATCCATATTAGAGTTGCAACCTACGTTTCAGACTAATACCCTTGAGCCGCTTTACACGGCGATCCCGGTGCCAGGTGTAGTGCATAAGTAAGGCTAACACAAAAGAAGGAATCCCCTAAATCAGTCGGGGCTGCCCAATTTTGTGTCCCCAGAAGTCACAGACTCAAGTAATGTGAGTTTTGGGTGAAAGGAAGTATTAGTGAGCTTTAAGCTGTGTTGTTTCCTGGTCTAATTTGTTATTTAGAAGTAGAGACCAGGGCTGAAAAATGTAAATTCGGCTGGTAGCGTGTTTGGCGTTCAGAAAAACCTGGGCTTAATCCCATCACTGCATAGACCAGGCCTGGTGGGTGGGACGACTATGTTAGTGTTCTGGAAATAGGATCAGGATTTCCAAGGTCATGTGATGCTGTGCTACAAATTCTGGCCAGGTTAGCCTATATGAGAGGGTCTCCTGATGAATCCAAGCTAGTTTCCAGAGAAAAACGAAGGGCGGTGGTGGTGTATGCCTTTAATCCCAGCATTGGGGAGGCAGAGGTAGGTAGATCTCAAGGCAGGTAGATAGAGTTCAAGGCCAGGCTGGTCTACAGAGTGAATTTCAGGCCAGCCAGGGCTACACAGCAAAACCCTGTCTCTGGAAAACAACCAAAAATGATTTAGTTACGGGAACATGTATACATTTTTGCCACTTGCTTTCTTAAACTTCAGGTACAGTTACTGAACATTCAGAATGAATTGCTTCCTGGTGGAAGTGTACTTAGAGGTGTCTTGGCTGGCTTTACAATCCAATAAAACAAAAGTAGAAGACTCATGGTTCCACAGAGACTAGGACCCCCTCACCCTAACCTCCCTACACACCTTTCTTTCTTTCTTTCTTTCTCTCTCTCTCTCTCTCTCTCTCTCTCTCTTTCTTTAACTGTAAATGAAGTTTCTGGTGAGATTTCCTAGAAAACTGAAAATTTCATACCCGGGATAGGAGGAAGGTCTTCATTGAAAGTTGCTAAACTAAAAGAAATTCTCATCTGGTTAAGGGTTTCACACCAAAGTCCCACATCCCTATAATTTCTCTGTCCTGCCCCAACATAAGATATTAATGAGAGTCTTTTATCTCTATCTTTAGGAATGGAATAGGAGGAAAATGAAATTTGTTCATTCTCCCAGAATTTTCTATTATTAATTCCTGTATTTACATCTGAAAGCATAAACCCAGTTTTTGTTACTCTAAATTGACTGCTCTAGAGAGCTACAGCATAAACATAGTTTTCATTTAGTTATTAAGTACATTTTTAACAAGGTAAAAATTAATTTTAATATGATCCATTATATAAAAATAGTTTCAATATGTAAAACATTTAAGTAGACCGTGTGTTAGTATCTGTATTTTTTGTTTTGTTTTGTTTTTTGTTTTTTGAGACAGGGTTTCTCTGTGTAACAGACTACCCCGTTGTCTTGTAACTTGATTTGTAGACCAGGTAGCCCTTGAATTCACTGAGGGATTAAAGGTTCAGGCAACCACTGCCCAGGTGTGTATTATACTTTTACAGCCCATCAAATTTATTCATCTGTATTTCAATTATCTTTTATTGTTTGACACAAAGTCTTACTGTGTATCCTGTGCTGGCCTTGGTGTTATGGAGATCAGCTTGTTTTTGCTGGGATTAAAGGTGCAAACCCAGTTTGAGTTCTTATCCAAGCAGATTTAGATTAGACTATGTACCTAATTAGTTCTAAGCATAATTAATATTAATCTGATAATTGAATCCATTAAGTGAAAACCAGCTAAAAACACAAAGCCAAGCCTTTTGGGAGGCAGGAGTCAGGTGGATCTTTGTGAGTTGAGAACCATCTTGGTCTACAAAAAGAGTTCCAGGACAGCCAGGGCTACATAGTGAGAACCTCTCTCAAACAAAACAAAATCAAACAACAAAAAACCATATATACCTAGTATTATTTGACATTCAAAGAGCAGAAGTGACCTTAAAATGTTAGTGAAGGACTCAAGATCCTTCTGAAATCAACTACTTTCCTAAGGGAGGGAGTTTGGTTAGTGAAATGGGTTTGAACATGAAAAATGATGTAGAGAAGGGCATTAAAAATGTCTGTTGTTCTTTAACAAATAAAGAATAAAAATGTCTTTCTCCGGTAAGCTACTCACAACCGGAAAGATTTTGAACAAAATGAATTTCAGTTGGCTCAGTAATTGTCAATTGTCCCACATTCTCCATTTCAGAACTACTGCCACTACCAGCTTTATTTTAATGTTAACTAAGGGAGATTAATATGATGTATAGGTATGTCAGAATACAGGTCTCAACCACTTTTTTTTTCTTTGAGACAGGGTTTCTCTAGTCCTGGTTTTCCTAAAACTCACTCTGAAGACCCGGCTGACCTTGAACCCAAGAACTTCGACTGACTCTGCTTGCTGGGGTTCAAGGCATGCACCACCATCGCCTGGTGAGATTTTTTCTTTTGTAACATCTACTCTGAAGGCTGAAGCAAGGTTGCAAATTTTAGGGCGGCCTGGAAAGAAGGTATGCTTACCATGGAATACTCCTGGTCGGCAATTGACAAATCGTAAGCAAACTAAAATGGGTGAAATAAAGAGGCACAGTATACTTGTGATTTGAAATGGCTGTTAGTACCTTTACCACCTCAAGTTAAGCATAATAAACCATGAGTTACTTGTTTGATTCATGAGTTACTTGTTTGATTCAACATAAATCTGAACACACTACAGCTGTCATCACCTTGACAACTTGGAGAATTTAGAAACTTGAATTAAACATTACTTGAGGGGGACCAGGTTATCAAACCTGCTTTACTGATTGCCATTCTGGTAGTTACTTTTAAAAAGCCTACCTTATTTATAAACGATAACAAAAAACCTTTCAAAAGTGAGACCTGCAGCTGGGTGCACATTAGTACTTACATCTTACAAACATTTAGGACTTAAAATTCCCACTTGGCCTGGCGGTGGTGGAGCAGGTCGTTAATCCCAGCACTCGGGACACATAGGCATGGTTTGAGTTTGAGACCAACCTGTTCTAGAAAGAGGTAACTTCAAGACAGCCTGTAAAGCCAGAAACTATTGAAAAAGCAAAACTTCTGCTTGTGTAAAGTGCTCTAAGTCCCCGAAAAACCCAGCGTCAATACTTCTGGGGCTGGAATTCCCAAGGAAGGTGGCTTAAGGATAAGAGTTTAGCTCTCATAAAGGCTGCAGAAGTTAAACGAGCATTGAGTCCCCTATCGCTCAAAACCGAAAGTTGGTTTAGCTCCTTTGTTGATTGTGTGGTGGCCCTAAAAAGGGCCTTTTGAAGCCTCTGGGCAAATTAGCCGCCGAAGCCATAGAGCGTGCGGCCCTGGCGCTTGAGCGCGTAGACCACGTCCATGGCGGTGACGGTCTTGCGCTTGGCGTGCTCCGTGTAGGTGACCGCGTCGCGGATCACGTTCTCCAGGAACACCTTCAGCACCCCGCGGGTCTCCTCGTAGATGAGGCCGGAGATGCGCTTGACTCCGCCACGGCGGGCCAGGCGGCGGATGGCGGGCTTGGTGATGCCCTGGATGTTGTCCCGGAGGACTTTGCGATGGCGCTTAGCGCCGCCCTTGCCCAGGCCTTTCCCGCCCTTACCGCGGCCAGACATGACAGCAAGCAAGACTTAGCTGTTGAAGAACAGACAGCCTTTCGGGGAGAAGCAGTTCTCTCTTATAGGGAACCTGCGGACCGGAGTGAAAACAGGAAGCGCAAGGCGGAAGTGCCTGCGGCTGGAGGAGGGGTCCTCATCAGCGCAGGAATCAAGCGGCTTTTTTTTTTTTTTTTTTTAAATCTATTTTACTTCATTTAAGAACAAAGTCTGTGTCCGACCCTTTAATGTAATTCCTGCCCCTTCTTTCTGCAGTTTAGGATATACGTGGAACGGGAGCAAAATTCCGCCATCTCCCCACATTTACGTTTTTCCTTTTAGCTAAAGCTTTGTATAGGGCGATGTTATTTAACTTGGAACACCTTTTAAGGAATCAAACAACAAAATAATGAGAAAAATCACTAATTGTGCCGCACAGCTAAAAATTCTATAAAATGTTTCAGCAAGGGAACTTTTAAACTGCTATCATTATTTTTCGCTCTTATTTTGAGCCAGTTTCATTAGAGTACCTGACATAATTGCTTGTGTAGACTAAGCTGGTCTCGAAATCCGAGATCTGCCTGGCTCTGCCTCACGAATGCTAGGAATGACTTTCAGCACAACACATGGTTTAATTATTTCAAAAATCTGACTTAAAAGTACAGAGAAGTGAAATGAAATTATATATATTTTCGATAACAGATTATAAATGTTGGAAGAATTCCAGTTAGAAGTTAAGAAAACCAGATTTTCGACTTTATAGTGTAACCCCGGCCCCCCACCATGTTCTATTTTTGGCTGTCCTGGAACTCTCTCTGTAAACCAGATTGGCCTTCAACTCTGATCCGCCTGCCTTTGCCTACAATGTGCTGGTATTAAAAAAGCGTGAGCCACCACTGCCTGAAGTTTACAAGTCTCCTTGTCAAGGACTAAATTTTACATGGGAGTGGGTGGCTTCACGAAAAAGCGCTCCATTTGCGGAGCTGGTTATAACCACTCACTGAACTCTCCCCGATAGACACTAAATACCTGACCATGTTGTGCCTTAGTGTCTAGGAATAGACTGCCCAAGTCAGTGGCAAGGATGTGTGGCCCACCCTATCTTGATTCCCGAGACATTACTACCGGCGTGCTATACCCCTTAAACATTTTCGATAGAGCACTGCCCTAAGAACTAGAAGACGACCGACTGTGGCATCTTACACCCGTTGTTCCGAATTTTACTTGAAAGTCGAGAAACATAGCTACTAGACGTTTTAAGCGGTTCAAACTACATTACTTTGCCTAGTTCTGGAAAAGATGAATGGTGTTTGCTTTCCTACGTCTTTGTCCCATTACAATGACAATAATGCTAAGCCTCTTTCGTAGAAAACGTAGGTGGCCCTGAAAAGAGCCTTAGGTCTGCGTTAAACTAACCAAGGGAAATTATTTTCCCTTGGCCTTGTGGTGGCTCTCGGTCTTCTTGGGCAGCAGCACGGCCTGGATATTGGGCAGGACGCCGCCCTGCGCGATGGTCACGCGTCCCAGGAGCTTGTTGAGCTCCTCGTCGTTGCGGATGGCCAGCTGCAGATGGCGCGGGATGATGCGGGTTTTCTTGTTGTCGCGGGCCGCGTTGCCAGCCAGCTCCAGGATCTCGGCCGTCAGGTACTCCAGCACGGCCGCCAGGTACACCGGGGCGCCGGCGCCCACCCGCTCCGAGTAGTTGCCCTTGCGGAGCAGGCGGTGCACACGGCCCACGGGGAATTGCAGGCCGGCCCGGGAGGAGCGGGTCTTGGCCTTGGCGCGAGCCTTGCCGCCCTGCTTGCCGCGTCCAGACATGGTGAAGACTAAACACACTACTGTAACTTGGTAGATGGAAAGTACAAGAGCTTGACTTTATAGTTTTCGCTGGGCGCCAAAAAGAACCCGTGTGATTGGCTGGCTTCTTCTTGTCAGTTAGGCCAATGGGAAGAGTTGTGCCCAGGCGTATTTCGATTGGGCAAGACTTCAAATGACGTCACCGAAATAGTACTCAATCAAAAGTGTGCTTTTCTAAGCCTCATTTGAATAAATACTTTTAAAAGGGAAGGCACGACTGCCTTGCTGTTGTAGTTCTTCTTTCTGTGTCAGTATGCCTGAGCCTGCCAAGTCCGCTCCCGCCCCGAAGAAGGGCTCCAAGAAGGCCGTGACCAAGGCCCAGAAGAAGGACGGCAAGAAGCGCAAGCGCAGCCGCAAGGAGAGCTACTCGGTGTACGTGTACAAGGTGCTGAAGCAGGTTCACCCCGACACCGGCATCTCCTCCAAGGCCATGGGCATCATGAACTCGTTCGTCAACGACATCTTCGAGCGCATCGCGGGCGAGGCTTCTCGCCTGGCGCATTACAACAAGCGCTCGACCATCACGTCCCGGGAGATCCAGACGGCCGTGCGCCTGCTGCTGCCCGGGGAGCTGGCCAAGCACGCGGTGTCCGAGGGCACCAAGGCCGTCACCAAGTACACCAGCGCCAAGTAAATTGACCTCACTCTTGACCCAAAGGCTCTTTTCAGAGCCACCCACCTCTTCAGATAGGAGAGCTGTGCTAGTTTCCTGCCTGTTTTGGTCCTTTAATGTCGACCCAGCCCTCGGGAGGCAGAGGCAGGCCTGGTCTGCAAGAACTAGTTCCAGGACAGCCTCCAAAGCCACAGAGAAACTGTCTCGAAAAACAAAACAAAAAAATAGAGTCGACTACCGCTTCAGCATTAAGTACTGGGATGCAAGGGTAGTAACCACGCCGCATATAGGCAACTTGATTAGGTTGGGATAAAGTTGGGGCAGAGGAACCCGTTTTCCTTTTTTCTTTGTCCTCTCACCTTGGTGCTAGGTGCGTCCGTCTGTACCTTCAAACAGAACTGCTTTATTCTCAGATTACCCTTGTATTAACCATAAACTGGATACATGAGACTGAGGAGTTTTCAAGTAGGTGATGAGTTCCGTATCACGTTAAACTGCTCAGTGTTCAGCTGTAGAGACCCAAATGTCTGATCTGGGGTTCACTCAGGATATAGATTCTGATAGGTTTCTGCACCTCTACTTCTGTCTCTGCCGTCGCCGAGTATACAGCTTGTACTGTAAGCTCAGTACTCCTGCTTCTATCTTGTATTCTCAGTGTTCAGGTATCTAGGTGCGGGTTCTCCCAGTGCAACTAAGGCTGCAATTTCCCAGTGGCTCCGTGATCTCTGCCGGGACTCCAACCCTTGACACCACAAGGTGCCAAGCCTCAGCTTCCCTCACCTTTTCAACCCATTGCAACTAAGGCGGTATCTTCAATGGCCTCTTCTGACCTCTAAGTGCCCTTAGCAGTTCTTTGTGACGTTTTCATGCCTTCAAAATCAGCATGGCGTGGGGGCTTCAAATCTGCTCTTGTAGCCATATGGGCTGAGCTATGCCTCTTTGATAGTCTCTCTAAAAGACTTCATAGTAGTCACTGTTACAGTCTTTTCACTAGTATGTGTCTGGTGATAAAATGTCACTCATATTGTTTTACTTAACCCAACTTAATTTTTTTTTTTTTTACTAACACAAATCATTATCTCCATGTATTTATTTTTATTTTATTGTATTGTGTACGCATGCGTATGTTCATGCTGTACCTGTGGGTATATGTATGTATGTATACACATGTGTGTGGAGTCCAGAAGACAACCTTGAGTGACATTACTCAGCCAGTCCTATCTTTTTTTGTGGGAGGGTCTTACACTGTTCTGGAACTTGCCAAGTAGCCTAGGCTGTCTGGCCAATGAGGCCCGAGTTTACCTGTCTCCAGCTGCTCTCTCATCACCACCCTTACTCTCTTTACTTCATTTTTATTTTTTTAAACATGTGTTCATGGATTGAACTGAGGTTCACTGAACTATCACCCCAGTCTCATTTTATTTATTATTTCTGAGATAAAGCTGAGCCCCCCAAAGAGGGAACTAACCTCTTACATAACACCACATAGTTTAGTGGCAACATCCAGTCCTGAAAGATGCAACTGTTTTAGAATGTGTGCATTCTTCTACATTGGTGTGATTGTCCCTGTCCTTGTTTTTTTTTTTTTTTTTTTTTTTTTTTTTTTCCCCCCCCCCCCCATCTCAATGGCAGTCCTGTGAAGAACTGCTGTGTCACTATGTGACAGAGGCTGATAGAATGAAATGCCCCAGGATTCAAAGTCTTTCCATGGTAGAGTAAGTCCTGTATTTTCTACCTCAGCTTTTACCATCTTAAGCCTTCCTGACTGTCACAGTGAAGGAGGTAGACACCAGAGTTCACTTTGTTCACATAACTCTGCTGAAGTCCTTCAGAAGATCTACCCTCCTAACTTGGATATCAAATTACTACTTTTCATCACGAGCAGTTTTCCTAGCTTATTGATATTCAGTCCTTTCTTCCCTGGATGAAAGTTTCACCCATTCTCTTCCTTTGTCAGAGAAGTCTCTACTTTTGCCCCTGTGGCCTCTACTCTGTTCGTTCTTTAGTTTCTTCCTTTCATTCCTTCTCATCCCTTTGCTCTGACCTGCTGTCTTTTCTTCAGGCTCCCACAGCACCCTAGAAGTGAGTGTCTCTGTCTTGTAATCCCCTTCCTGTCATGTAATCTAAGCCAGGTATGAAGTGAGGAGCACAGAACAGAATCAACAGAGATGAGTGTCACTTGTACCCACACTGGATGCTCAGAAGATCACAGGTGGTCATGGGTGAATGTAAGCACATTGCTGACTAGAACTGAGCCAGTTCTTTTGCTGTGAAAGAATGACAGTGTGGGGATATAACATTATTTAAACAATAAAACTGTATCAATGACATTAATTGTAGTTTTTTTTTCTTACTCTAGCCCCATGTTGGAATGCCAAAATATTGTTAGTTTTTTTTTTTTTTTTATTCTTTGCTCTTATTCTTTGTTCTTTAGGTGTTTTGGCTCTTTGCTTTTTGGGGGCCCACCACCCAACTCCCAAATAAATACACACAAAGGCTTATTCTTAGTTATAAACACACAGCCTTGGCAAGAAAGTTTCTTGCCAACTTTCTTAAATTATCCCAACTACCTTTTGCCTCTGGGTTTTTTCCTTTTCTTA